GGGGGAGCTGGGGGTGGAGCTGCTCTCTCTGGGGGTGACTCCTGGGGGCTTTGTCCTGTCCCTGTTGAAAGGAGAAGGACATAAATGAATGAGAAGGGGCAGGAGACGGAAATCACCAGTTTGAGAGCCACTGTACTGGGAGTTCTGATTTATAGAGCCCGATATAATAAATATACATATTTATACATATATATATGTGGATATACCGGATCCTCAGACTCACCTCCTTCCATTGCAGCTTATCGCTAGCTCAGCTGCAGTCTGGAGCATGGGACAGAGCCAGCATGACAGCTCAAGGTCTGATTACCCACTTGCCTGTGGGTAATGTCGCAGGAAGCTATGACATTGGGTAAGCCAAAACCCAGCTGCGGCTATTGCAAAAGCTCTGTGAGAACCTGTATGTCCCTGGCTGGGCTTTCAGCCTGATGTAGGGGTGGATTCAGTGCGGGGATGTGGTGGCTGTCCCTCTTCACCGTATCAAGCTGGTAGGGCTGATGTTCTTGGTCACTATAAGGGAGTCATTGAGTCTTGGAGACCCACACTTATGTCATGGACAAAGTCCTGGCTGGACCCTGATGCCAAGTCATGGGTGTTTGGCTGGAAGTCTTCCTATCCAGCAGCCCAGGGAAGAGCAGAGCAGAGCAAAGCAGAGCAGGAGTGCTTGGTGCTCAGCAAACCCAGCCCGACCTACCGCTCTGAAACTCCTCAGGCCTTGGGAAGCATCGGGGAGTAAAAGCAGGAGTTTCTCTTTAAGCGGATGGTGCTTCTGTGCTCCAAAGAAAACACATTTCTAAACTAATCCCCCCGTGCTAATTCCTCTGGACTTTAAACCCTTGAGGAATGAGCTGATTTGTATATATTGGCCAGCCTGGCAGGTTCCTTGGCTTTCAGCACAGCACTCTGCTGGGATATGAACCTGTTGGTGCAGATCGCTTCTCCCTCTTAACCCCGTCTCCGTCCCTTGCGTGTCACTCTCCTTCCCCCAAAACATAACCTGCTTCCTGCAAACCCTCTCTGGCTGCTGCAGGAGGGGAGCTGGTGCCATGGAAAAGCCATGGAAGCCCAGGTTGAGGTCTGTGGCCAAGGCGAGCAGCCCACAGCTTTGCTTCCCATGAGCAGTCCCCCATGGGGGGGTGTTGAATACCCTTGTTCCCCCAAAAACTGACTCCCTGGATTCAGGTGAACAGGGGAGTAAGCAAAGGTCAACAAGGACTTAGAGACCATTACGGGTGTTTCGGTGTCTAACATCTACAGGAACCTGTAGGAATTAGATGCTAAAATACCCCTGAGGACGCCGTGGTCTGGACGTAGCCCTGCTCAGCTGCGGGGATGCCTCTGTCCTTACCAAGACCCCTCGTAATGAATGAAACCCAGGAGAGCACTTACTCCAGGCTCTGGAGCCTCTTCAGTTCTTCCTTGAGAGTTTTGTTCTCTTCCCTCAGGCGGTTCGTCTCGTTAGCTGCAGGGACACAAGTTGTGCCGTGAATTCAGGGATCGCAAGGAGAGAGCTGATGCTCTTCGCAGCTTGCTGGGGTGCATGGGGGAGGAGGAGGAGGGAATGGCACCAGGTTTCGAAGGGATGCTGAATTTCCTCCCTTCTCTGAAAACATGCTGGGGGCTAAGGGATAAAAGGCAGCAACTTTCTGACTTGGGTTTGGTCAGGATTGGGGTCTGCTTGCAGCCCATCCAGCTCGGGGGGAGAGCGTGACCCAGACGGGGTGGTGGCTGCAGCATGGTGGGATGGACACAGCTGGCATCCTACGCGTGAGCACCCATGGCCTCCTCGGATGAGCGGGTGCTGTGTTAGCGGAAGGGCTGGGGGCCTCGAGTGGGATGGGATGAAGGTCAGAGGGAGCTGTGAGCACCCAGCAGCCGGGTGCCGCAGCGGGGAGGCAGCGAGCGTGAGCAGGCAGGCTCCCGGGCAGGGTGGGCTGCTGCCTCGGCTTGCTCCTGCTCAAAAGCAGCACTCGGGGAGCAATGGCATAACAGGGGAGGCAAACCAAGGGCTGCTGGCACATCTCCGTCCCTCCTAATGCCTTATCTGTTTTAACCCCACAACCCTCCCTGGGCCAGCCAGACCCCCAGGGAAAAACACCCTGAGCCTGAGCAGTGCTGGGAGCTCTGCCAAAGGCTCAGGAGAAGATCCATCACACGTGTTGCTTGATTTCCATTTACCCATGCCGAGCTGCTGCTGTGACTTCCCTGTCTTTGCCAGAGTGTTGCTTCTGCGGTGCCAAATGCATCTTTTTTCCCGGCAGCTGACATGGCCTGGCCAGCTCGGGGCTGCTCTCGGCATGAGCATCTCTCATTTTTCTGGAGTGTGGAGGGCTGCAACCCCCCAGCTCTGCCGCTGTGTGCGAGCAGTTACCTCTGCCTGGGAGGGACTTGGGCTGCCATCCACAGTCCTGGTCAGATCTGATTTTTCAAGGCTTCTGCACTTGCATTGGCTCCCTTCCTTCTCCCCATCCCCAAACCCCTCCTGGGTGCCTGGTCACTGTGAGGGTTCACATGCAAATATCTAGGAGAAGTATTAACTGAGCAAAGACTCAACCAGGCAAAGCCGAGCTTACAGCAGGCGGCGGTACGTACTGAGGATGAAGATGTGCTGCAGGCTCTGGAAATGGGAGGTCTCGTACTCATTCTGCTTCTTTTTCGCCAGCTCCTGGGTGACCATGCATCTGTCGCAGAGACCTGCTCGCAGCCTGGCGGAAAACCCACGGCAGCTTGTTACTACATGGTTCCCACGGGAGAAATAAGCTCCTGCCCTCTGCACAGAGAAGCGTGAACCCCCAGCCCATCACCCAGAATTGGTGAGAGGGGTTATCACCGTGCAGCCCAGTGCTGGCCCTTCACCTCCGCCAGATCCAGTCCCATCACCATCAGCTTAGAAAAGCTCCTCTGCATGTGCCCAGGCTCCCCCAGTTCTCCCAGCAACCGAGTATGAGCAAAAAAGAGGTTCATGTGCTACGCCCCGCTTCTGGGAAGACAGGAAACCCCAAACTCTCTCCCTAGGAGGGTGCACTCGCTGCCACCGAACAGCACCCTATTGAAAAATAAAACTTACCTGTTTTCTAACACCTTTACGTTTTCCTTAAGGACCTTCTGTTGTTCCCTTAATTGGTGATTTTTAGCAAACAACTCTTCAATTCTCTGAGCATCACTAATTGAAGAAACAGAACAAAGAAAAGAGGTTTATTAGATTTCTCCCCCAAATCTGTGCCTTTATCTGCAGCGCCCTGTCAAAGGGGAAGGATTTCTGCCCTGAGCCTGCCGTGCTGCTCACACTGGTATGGCTGAATTGCTTTTGCTTGTGTGGCAGGAGGGGAAACAAATGCGTTAGAGCCCAGACACTGCCCTGCAACACCTGCCTTTGGAGTTAGCAGCTTGCTTCATCCCGTTTTATTGCTTCCCAAGAGAGCAAGTGCCTGCTGGCACGAGCATCACTTGCCAGTGGGAAGGTAAACTGGAGGTGGGCTGGGATCACCCCAAGCCCTGCCTGTGCTGGGGACTTGCATGGTGAAAGTTACCCAAAGGTTTAAATTTGGGAGAGCCAGAAAGGCGGACTGTGCTCTCTAAATCAGGCAGCCTCGGAGGAGTGCCCGGGAGGTGTGAAAATGAAGTGGCGTAACCTCTCCTCCGCCCCCCGTCCCGCCACGGCGTGGGTAGAGCAGACGTGGTGTTGCTCACCGGCACTTCTCCGTCGTCAGCTCCGTCAGCTTGCTTTGCAGACCTGGAATAATTAAGAGAGATGGAGAGGTGGGTATTTATTGCCAGTTCCCTGGCACTTCAGAAACAAGATGCAATGATGGAACTTCAGGAGGGTGCCTGGCTTTGCAGAAACCTCATCAATTTACAAACCTTATTTCTGAGAAGGAATAGCACATTGCCTGTCTTAAGCAATATCACAGCTGGAAAAGTTGTAGAAAATGTGAGCACATTTTGTATTTCCACTATTTAATGAGTCTGCATTCCCCCACCCCCCGCCCAAAAAAATAAAAAAAGGTCTGTTTCAGTTTTGTTTCTACTTATTTCTCATTACAGCATGTATTTCCCAGGTGGGCAGTATTTTATAACTCTCAGGGCTGCAAAGCATCTTGGAGGATATTTACAGCTCAACAAGAATGGCTTTCGTTGATGGATCTGGAGACGTTACATCTTGTCAAATCCATTTTATGCAAAGTAGATGTAAACATGTGGTTTAAATTGCTCAACAGTTTCCTCTAACTCTCACATGACTTGAAATTACACAAGAGAAGAATGAATTCATAAGCCAGAATCCTCCAAAAGCACTGTTGTTTTGTTCATAATATTGATACTGGGAATTATTCTGATAGGAAAATGATTGGATTTGGCATTTGGTTGCTTAACCTAATGGTTCTTATTTTAATAATGTATGACCCAAGGAATAATTTATTCCCTAGAAGAATAAACTATCTAACCTACTCTAAGGTTTTCTTTAACAGAGCCTCACACTCCTGCTGCTTCAGTCTTACAGATTATTGCATCTTTCCACTTTTCCTTTGATCTCTCAGTATCTAAATATACTCCAATCCACATCGCTCGGAGAAGATGCCCAGCGGGTGTGCATGTCACTTCTGCAAACCTCCCAATTCACCTTTATCACAGACCATGGCAGCAGGAGCACGAAAGGAGCCAAATCCCTCGTGGAGCAAGTGGGATTCCCGCAGGTGGGATATCTCCAGGGATATTGGATGCAGGAACACCCTCTCTCTTCTGCTCCTCCTCATCGTCCAAAAAGTTACTGATTTTCTCAGTAAACCTTGTTCTTCACTGGGATAAGATGGATAAACCATACCAAGGTGCCATCAGATGGTGTGGTCCCCTGAGGCGGGGGGGACCTGCGTCCCAATCCATCCCCGTGGGTGATGCTTGCTGAACCCTAATTCCCAAAGCTCCCTAATCCACACCCGCTCCTCTTCCCTTCGGGTTATTTCAAACCAAACAGATCAAGGTGGCGTCACAAGGAAATGGATCTCTGCTAGTTTTTAATAAGACTTCTCATGTCTCCTTACCTTGGACCTCTTTCTCATGGATTTCCTTGAGCTTATTCAGGAACTCTGAAAAACTCTCCGTGGTCATGTTCAGGGCTGCGCTGCACGCTGGGCTGCTTCCAGCGCGAGGATGTCCTTCCGTTTCAAATTATCTAGGTTTCAGCCTAAAATAGAAACAAGAAGTCCAATAAAAGAGAAGTGTCTTGTGCATGTGGTGTTCTGGAAATTCTTGGAAACAGGACAAAGCCCAAATCTAGAAGGAGAAACCATTTGCTAAAGCACGGAGATGCACAAAGCAGCAGGCTCATCCCGGGAGGCATTTTCAGACCTGTCCACCCTGCCTCAGCCCCGGGCTGGGGGCACGGGCAAAGCAGAGAGTGATGGCTTTGAAAATGGGAGAACTGAAAGCCCAGCTGAAAAATCAGGCTTTTCCTCTACTTTTTGAGCTGTTTAAATCACGTTTCTCTGGGATGAGGCGGGGCAGGGCATCTTGAGGAAGGGATTGCAGGGCTCGTGTGGGGACTGATGATGGGAAAACTTGCGGCAGCTTTGGTGCTCGAGCCCGATGGACCCATCTCCCGCTAGGTCCTGAGATGCTCCCGTGCATCCTTCCTCCCTCTGGCACCACGCACAGCTTCCTCGGAGACAACACGTACCACTCGGCCGCCCTGCTGTCATCGCTCAGGCTCCCCGTGTGTCCTCGCTGTCTGCAGCCTCTTCAAACCCTTGGGAGACACCAAACTGAGTGTTATTCACCCCATTTTACAGAGAAACCATTGAGAGGTGATGGGCAGAGCCGAGCCCCACAGGAAGCCTGGGGGGTGCAGAGCCGGTGTGGGCACAGCACCTGTGGTGCTGAACGTGAGCTGGGGCACCCAGGGGTGCGCTGGCTGTCCCCAGCCCCTCCATACCAGGAGCAGTGTCCCAGCTCCTGCCTGGGCTCAGGTCTCTGCTCAGCTTGCCCCTGCCTCAGTTTCCCCATTGATGTTATGGGGAAACTCCATCATGCTGAGTGCCATCATTTAGTGCTGGCGGTAGCGTTCTATAATCCCCGACAACAGATAAAGTGCTCTGCTCTCTAAAAAAAACCTTGCTTTTTCCTTCTTTGGTTGAAAACTCCCCTAAAAAAACAGGAGAGATGGAGAGCAGCCAATGATACCCCCAGCTCAGTAAGCTGGGAAAGGCAGGAGGCAAACAAACAGCCTGAAAGTAAAGTGGTTGTTTTTTAAGAATTTTGCCGTAATTTTAAGAATTTTGCCCTAATCCCAGTGATCATAAATTTTGAAATTACTAGCAAGAATGGAAAGTGGAAACTTTGGAGATGAGAAAGCTCATTTCTCCTTGGGATGCTGATGCACTAGCAAGAAATTTAACCCTACCCCAGCCGAAACCAGGACATTGGGATCAATAAATTAACCCCTATCCCAGCCGAAACCAGGACATTGGGATAAACTCTTTCCTTTCCATCAGCCAAAGCCTTGGGGAGTCTCAGATCTCCTGAAATAGCTGTGGGCCCAGGTCCCTCCTGGACCATCATGGTACCGGGGAGGGGCGTGCATCTGCGCATCCCCGCAGAGCATTGTGGAGGGTCCCCTGGGGTTTGGGCAGGAGGGGTGTGCAACCTCCCTGCCCCCCTGAGCAGGTCAGCAAAGCCCTGCCCACCCTGAGGTGTCCTCCAGGACCACCAAAACTACACTGGGAGAAGAGGGACTTCCACGTGAGGGCATTCAGCATCGCCACATGGGAGTTTCTCCCCTAAAAGTCACACCGGGTTACTGAGTCACGGACGGTAATCCCGTTCCCGACAAAGCACCTGGGCACGCAGACTGCAGAGATGACCAGGGAGAAAACCTCCCCTCTGTTCTTCGAAGGTGAAAGGCCAGGTTGGGACCTGGGTTTTGCAGCCCCACGGCAGCACAGGGAGGTTTCCGCCGTGCTCCGGCACGCTCCCAGCCCGGCTCCCTGCCGGCAGCCCGCCTGTGCCTTTATCTGCATGCAGAGCAGAGGTGTGCCGGATCACCTGCATATGCAAGATGTGGGCACGCAGAGCTGGAAGAAGAAACTTTCCCCTAAAGCGTCTGATTTTCAAAAGAAATGAGGCACGCGCCAGCGAGCAGAAGCAGGGAGCTCGGCTTGTGTGCTCTTACCACGCTTGGATCAGCGAAAGAGCTTCATTGCCTTTTGAGCAAACAAGCAGAGGTCTCACTGTCTGGTGAAACAATTAAAAAAAATATTCATTGCTCCCACTTCCCTGGGCATAACCCACCCTTTCCCAGGGCTGAGTGATCTCTCCCAGCAAGTAAAAGCCACACGAGGCACGGCGTGGCTTGTCGTGGCTCGGGCAGGTCGGGATCAGCTGCTGTGAAATGGGATTGGGAACCGATCTCCGCTGCTCAGCCCCAGAGCTGAACAACGAGCCAGGTGAAATAATACCCGGTTCTACTCCAAAAAAACCCAAAACCCCTGATGAAAAGATGTTAATAAGAAGCACTTTCCGGGACCGCTGAGTCCTCAGTTCAGCTCTGCCCTTGGCAAAGCACCTCCCCAGGGCTGAAGAGAGGTGAGACCCACCGCTGCTGTCACGGGGCTGAAACTCCGAGTGCTGGCTGGGAAGGCTTTGAAGTCCTCAGGCACTAATTCCCATTGCATTCCCCAGTGCTGTATACTGGGAAGGGATTGCAACTGGAAGCAGAGCTGGCAGCGGCCGCGTGGGCTCCCTACGATGCTCGCTGGTGCCGGGTCAGCCCCTGCCCACCTGGGTGCTGCCCTCTCCCCAAGGCTGGTGTCTCGGAGGGCTGAACAGCACCCGGCATTTGGGGCCACAGGGATCCAGCTGGGACATCCCGGGAGGGTGACATCCAGGCTGGGGCTCGTGCCAGCCCGCGGCTGGGGGAGGCAGGGCTGGGCGTGGATGTGGTGGGAGGCGGAGGGCGTAGGGGCAGCCCAGGTGCTCAGCGCCGGATCGGGATCCCTGCTGCTGTGACTCAGCGCTGCGGGCAGAGCCCGGCAGATCAGGATTTGGGGCTGGGGTGTGGGCAGCAGCTTTGCCTTCCATGCACGGCTGCGGTGCCACCAGGGTTGGGGCTCACTCCTGATTTTCTTTTTCTCAGAGCCCCCAGGTCAGTGGAGATCTGCAACCTCCTGGGGATCCGATCAGCAGGGAAAAGCTATTGCCATTTTCGGTGCTTTTTGAGATGCCAGCACCCGTCCCTGCCTGCAGACGGGACTGCCTCTCTGCGGCAAACCTGGTGAGGACTTTGGGTCTCTGGTCTGTGCACACACACGGTTACAAAGATGTTGCACGAGCATCGGTCCCCATGTATCTGTACCCAGGATTTGGCCTTTTGCTGCAGCAGAGCCACCCCGCAGGCAGCCCAGGCTCTCCGCAGCATTCGGCTTTGCTCCCTTCTTGCCCAGTGTAGACTGGCCAAGGCATGAAGCCGCAGTCCCCCACCCCA